GATTTATTACTCATTTGATAATCTTTTTCATGTAATTTAACCAACCAAATAAACACAGTTTAATATCTCTCTTTGGGATGTTTCAGGGGCCCTCTGAAGCACCCCAAAGTTAGCTAGAGGTCAAAGGAACTTCAAAAGAATTCGATTTAGGAAGTTTTATTGAAAAGATCAGTTAAAAGCGTTTAGAACATTTGGTCAGATTCAGTCAATGTTGGTGGTGTATCATTTAGCTTGCTGATATGTCACAGTGGGCGCAGATACCAAGGCTCAAGGTCGAGTGAAGGTCAGCTCCGCCATCTTGGGCCTAGTTGGCTCTAACCAGTTTTCTTATGACCAGTGTCATTCTTAACAAAACCCATTTATCTAACTAATTGTAATCCAATTTTAGAAAATCCTGATCATGCATAACTCTTTTTAGTATTTTTTCATACCTTTTTTTACTGAAAGCACACTTTCTACTTTCCTTTAGCAACCAAGAGCTAACTTTTATATTAGCATTTTATAGATTGTTGAGCATAAATACCAGTGATAATTTCTACAACCCTTGCTTTCTTAAAACATTTTAGGATGGCATCAAACATTATTCATTTATAGTCCCAAATCTCTTTAGTTTTTCTGTAAAAGGAAATCAGTGTTTAGTAGTAAATGTTTCAAAATCTTATTTTATTTGGAAATGACCTAATTACTCAGTAGACTTCCAATACTTAGTTTAGCACAACCCTTAGAAATTTAAGCTATGCCAATCTGGAGAGACTACTGTAGACAGATATTCCTAAAGAATAATTATTCTTAATAGTGTATATACAAACATATCTCATTTACATTTTTTAGAAGTTTCTTCACTAGAGGTAATTTCCTTGTTGACAAACTTGTAACATATATAATATTTAACTTATATTAAACCTAGGTACAATGAAAATATTCTACTTGATGTTAATTACTCTAAGACATGTCTATATTAGATAGGTCAACAAACAACATTAATATCAGGTATTTAATACTGAATATTTCCCAGTTCACCTGAACCTGGAATTTATTAATTTAGAATTATTTGATTTGCAAGCGCTTACCTTTCTTTAAGCCAATTAAATAGAGCTCATTTACAAATTAACCTAAAAAATATTACCCAGAGACAAAGACATACCAAGACATATTTAGACAGACACAGTGTGAGATCTAGCTTCATTTTCTAAGTTTGGTCATGAATTAGATATTACAATATAAAATTTACTAGTTTATTTAAAAAGTTGAAATAAATAAAATTTTTAAAGACTTTCCCCCTTTTTCTCTCAGTCTCAGGAGTAAGCACATGAAAAGATGCTCGAATCACTAATCATTAGGGAAATGCAAATGAAAACTACAATGAGCTCCCACCTCACACCTATCAGAATGGTTACTATTTATAAAGGAAAAAGAATGGGATTTCCCATATGGCCCAGTGGTTAGGAATCAGGGCTTTCACTGCTGGCTCCTGGGTTTGAGCCTTGGTTGGGAATTAAGATCATGCAAGCCGCAGATAAAAAAAAAAAGATCCCGTATGTTGCAGCGGAGATCAAAGATCCCAAGTGCTGCCATTAAGACCCTGTGCAGCCCAATAAGTAAACAAACACGTCTGCGTGCTGCGCGCTAAGTCGCTTCACTCGTGTCTGTTTTAACTATAAATAAATAAAATAATACAATTTAAAATAAAAACTTAAAAACAGCTCAGTTGAAATATGTCACATGCCATGCAATCCACCTGTTTAAACTGTGTAATTTAAAATGTGTAATTCAGTGATTTTTAGTATAGTCACAAGGTTGTACAACTGTCACCACTAAGTCCAGAACATCTTATTATTTCAAAAAGAAACCCCCCTCCCATGGAGGATCTCCCACATCCCCAGCCGGAGGCAACCAGGAATCTGCGTCCCCTCTCTGTACACTCGCGTAAACGGAACCACACGGCGCAGTCACGCAGCCCTTTGGCTTCTTGTATGCGGCTCACGCTTCCAAAGTTCTCCCGTGTCGCTCCTGCCACTGCTTTTTCTCTTCCCCACGCTGCCATTTGGTTCTGGACACCATCTTTTACCCAGGTCAGCTCAAATCTCACCTCCTTGGGTAGTCTTTTCAGACTTAACGCTCCAAAATCCGGGGGTCCCATGCAGGACTACGTTGCTATTTCAGAAATGGACGCTGGCCTGCCGACCGCTCTCTCAATAAACCGCAGGGACTGAACGCCTCACTCTCTTAGACACACACACCTAGTTTTCTTTGACTAAGGATGCTTTTCCATCTGACTTGCTCCTGGCCGTCACGCCTGTCTCACTCCTGCCACTCATTTACATTTTTTAGAAGTTTCTTCACTAGAGGTAATTTCCTTGTTGACAAACTTGTAACATATATAATATTTAACTTATATTAAACCTAGGTACAATGAAAATATTCTACTTGATGTTAATTACTCTAAGACATGTCTATATTAGATAGGTCAACAAACAACATTAATATCAGGTATTTAATACTGAATATTTCCCAGTTCACCTGAACCTGGAATTTATTAATTTAGAATTATTTGATTTGCAAGCGCTTACCTTTCTTTAAGCCAATTAAATAGAGCTCATTTACAAATTAACCTAAAAAATATTACCCAGAGACAAAGACATACCAAGACATATTTAGACAGACACAGTGTGAGATCTAGCTTCATTTTCTAAGTTTGGTCATGAATTAGATATTACAATATAAAATTTACTAGTTTATTTAGAAAGTTGAGATAAATAAAATTTTTAAAGACTTTCCCCCTTTTTCTCTCAGTCTCAGGAGTAAGCACATGAAAAGATGCTCGAATCACTAATCATTAGGGAAATGCAAATGAAAACTACAATGAGCTCCCACCTCACACCTATCAGAATGGTTACTATTTATAAAGGAAAAAGAATGGGATTTCCCGTATGGCCCAGTGGTTAGGAATCAGGGCTTTCACTGCTGGCTCCTGGGTTTGAGCCTTGGTTGGGAATTAAGATCATGCAAGCCGCAGATAAAAAAAAAAAAGATCCCATATGTTGCAGCGGAGATCAAAGATCCCAAGTGCTGCCATTAAGACCCTGTGCAGCCCAATAAGTAAACAAACACGTCTGCGTGCTGCGCGCTAAGTCGCTTCACTCGTGTCTGTTTTAACTATAAATAAATAAAATAATACAATTTAAAATAAAAACTTAAAAACAGCTCAGTTGAAATATGTCACATGCCATGCAATCCACCTGTTTAAACTGTGTAATTTAAAATGTGTAATTCAGTGATTTTTAGTATAGTCACAAGGTTGTACAACTGTCACCACTAAGTCCAGAACATCTTATTATTTCAAAAAGAAACCCCCCCTCCCATGGAGGATCTCCCACATCCCCAGCCGGAGGCAACCAGGAATCTGCGTCCCCTCTCTGTACACTCGCGTAAACGGAACCACACGGCGCAGTCACGCAGCCCTTTGGCTTCTTGTATGCGGCTCACGCTTCCAAAGTTCTCCCGTGTCGCTCCTGCCACTGCTTTTTCTCTTCCCCACGCTGCCATTTGGTTCTGGACACCATCTTTTACCCAGGTCAGCTCAAATCTCACCTCCTTGGGTAGTCTTTTCAGACTTAACGCTCCAAAATCCGGGGGTCCCATGCAGGACTACGTTGCTATTTCAGAAATGGACGCTGGCCTGCCGACCGCTCTCTCAATAAACCGCAGGGACTGAACGCCTCACTCTCTTAGACACACACACCTAGTTTTCTTTGACTAAGGATGCTTTTCCATCTGACTTGCTCCTGGCCGTCACGCCTGTCTCACTCCTGCCCCCATGTGGTCAGAGGCGGGCATGACACCTATTTGAACAGGACCAGACCCAAGAACTTAGCAGTAGCAGCAGTGGCAGCCCCAAGAAGCCAAGTCGCTCAGGCTCTGTTCTGAGCCAAGTGCAGGACTTTGCCTTTTCTCCAGAGTGTGGCCGAGCCCCTGTCCCTGAGGATATCTCAAGGCCCAGAGCTGGGCTTTCTACGCGCTTGGTTGGAGGTGGTCTCCACCACGTACAGACCAGGCTAGTCATCGGAGACACCTGCATGCGGCTTACAATCAGAGCTGCCAGCGCCCCATCTCGGCCTGCAGAATCAGAATCATCGGGGCTGCGACTGTGTTTTAAGACCCCAGGGTAAGAACCATCGTGCTGACGGTGAACCCTGCCTCACATCTGTTGTGCCTGCTCCCGCCCGCCCAGCACGTGTGAATACACTAGGGTGGGAGTGGACGAGTGAGTGGTTGAATAAAGTAAAGGCCTTTATAAAGCTGTTCTTTAAATTGGCATGCAATGCACATAACAAAATCAGCATTTTAAGGAGAGCAATTTGGCGGTATTTAGCACACTCACAATGGTACGCATCCACCACTTTTACCTGGCTGCTCCAAAACATTTCCGTCACCCCCAAAGGAGACCCCCACCATTCCAGGCACTGCCCATTGCCCCCCCCCCCCCCCCCGCCCCGCAGCCCCTGGCACCCAGTCATCTTCCGTCTGTCTCTGGGATTCGCCTGTTTTGGACGTTTCTGAGATGGAATCACACACCTAGTGTCCCTCCGCGGGGCTGCTCTCACCGAGCGCCGTTTCCGAGGCTCGCAGGCCCCGCAGCTGCGTCAGCGCTTCGCCCCTTTGTGTGGCGGAGCCATGATCCGCTCTGCGGATGGGCCTCGTGAGTCTACTGGTCGGTCGGTGACCGGGGACGCTTTGCACGCAGACTGCTTCGTCACAGTCGGCTGACGGAGGACTCGCCGCCCGCTCCGCACTCTGCACAATGGACTTGGGGGCACACCCGAGGGCCTCTGAGTCGCTCCTCCCTGCGACACTGTGCCTTCAAGATTCGTGGGTCTGTCTCGTCGACCGTACAGGGTCCCCTGTGCCGGCTCTCAGGTTCCTCGCCGGCTCTCTGCAGCTCCCGTCCCGGTCATCTCCACGCCGACTCCCGAGGCGCTGCTCTGGCCGTGCTCCTGTTGGCTGTCCTCTCATCCCCGTGGGGGGCATGACGGGTGCGGCGGCCCTGGGCCGTGCGATCGGGTACAGCGCCCATGGGCACCCCCCTTCCGCAAGACTCACAGGGAACAGGTGCAGGTCAGCGCAGATGGGAACTCTCGTTGTAGTTGCAGAAGTCGCGGCCGAAGTCGTGGGGCGCCCTCGGAGCACCACCTTCACCTGTGGCTCCCTCCTGCCACCTGTCGGCGTGGGCCACCCACCAGCATGGTGCCTTTGCCGAGGTGACCCCGCAAGGGCAGTGTCACCAGCCCGGAACCCCCACAGCCCTGCGGGCCGGGGGCCTTGACTCTGCCTACTGTCCTCAGCCCCGCGCAGCTGCTGGCTGGGCAGGAGGCACCAGAGCCAACAGCAAGCGGGACGATCCACAGGGGGCCCGGGCGAGGGGCAGAGGCAGTCCAGGTCCCAGTGCTGGGGTCTTCCGTGGGTGAGCCAGCCGGGGGGGCAGGAACGAGAGGGAGGGAACGGATGCTTGGGGGCCCATCAGAGACCCCAGGGTGGAGCCCCGAGTCCTCAGGGAGACACTGGTGTCCCCGTGGGCCTGGGGTCCCTTCAGCCTGCAGTGGCACTGCCTTGACCGTGTTTGTTGTCAGGCCCCGACCTTCAGAGGTGAGCCGGCGCTTCTGCTGCGTCTCATTTGCCTCCTCGGAAACCCTCCTTTTTCCTCTGACTCTCTATGTTTCAGTCTGTAATTTCTTTCTTTAGAATCACCTTCTCCAAATTAAGTCACCCAAATTCCCGAGTAAGCTGAAAAGCCGTTTTTCTTGCAAATCTTATATGAAGATAATTTAATATAAGGCATAAACCAATAAACTAAAGACCATATATTACAGCAGTAGCACAGTAAAAATCAAGCCACTGTAAGAGACAAATGAACAGTATCTTAGCCAAGGGAAAAAGAAAACGAAGTAGAAACGAGATGTAAGTTATACTCTGTGCATAAACAACTTTAAAGGGAAATAGTAAAGATAACTTCTATAACTTTAATGTATTTGGGGAGACATTATTTAATTGCAGTAAAATAAGAGGTGATAAGTCTAGCTGAGGTTTTGCAGGATCAGGATTATGTGAGTTTCCTGAGAAGACAGGAGAGTGAGTATTGTTTTATAGGATATTTAAGATTCTGGAAGTGAAAGTGAAAAGTGTGAGTCGCTTCAATCACATCCAACTCTTTGCGACCCCATGGACTACAGCCTGCCAGGCTCCTCTGTCCATGGGCTTCTCCAGGCAAGAATACTGGAGTGGGTTGCATTTCCTCCTCCAGGGGATCTTCCTGACTCAGGAACTGAACCCAGATCTCCTGCATTGCAGGTGGATTCTTCAGTATCTGAGCCTCCAGAGAGATACGCAAAATTTCTCTCCATTCAAGTGCCACTGACTTCAGCTGGGCAAATATCCTAGCTCTGAGAGGCGGTCAATAGTCTTTAAAACTCCTTTCAAAATCTCATCAAACACAGAATTTAGCAATAAAAAACAGCACAAACTGTGGCATAGCAACTTGGATGAATCTCCAGAAAATTAAACTTGAGTGCAAGAAGAGCCAATCCCCAAAGGTTACACATCGCATGAGTCCATTTACAGGACATTCTTGAAGTGGAAAATTACGGAGATGGGGAACAGGTGAGCGGTTGCCAGGTGTTAGGGATGGTGGGAGGGTAGGTGGGCGTGGCTGTAAGAGGGGGTCCCCGTGGGGCTGTGACTGTGGTGGTGATACTGGGGCCTGCACATGAGGCAAAACCCACGGGTCTAAACTTGCACACGCCAGGAACACATGAGGAGACACAGAGCTGGGGAAACCAGCCCTCGTGGGCACCTGTGTGGGTCAGCTGTCCTGGGTGAGACGGGGGTGAGACGCATCCCAGGTTCCACCCCTAGTGCACACGGTGGGGTCCCGAGGACACCGCTGTCTCTTGTGTGGCAGGAGACAAGCAGTGCTCCTCACGGTGGGGGGTGCGCTGAGTGCAATATTCCAGGTTTAAATTCAATTTTTAAACCTGTTTGTTTGGCTGCGCTGGGTCTTTGTTGCGGCATGCGGGATGTCTGCTGCTCCATGCAGACCTTCTGCTGCAGCGAGCGCATGGACTCTCGTGGACTCCATGGTTGGGCGGGTCGGCTTAGTTGCTCTGTGGCACCTGGGATCACAGATCCCCCAACAGGGATCAAACCCGTATCTCCTGCATTGCAAAGCGGATTCTGAACCACTGGGGAAGTCCTTGCATATTCTGCCAATCCCCCCATTTCCCAGTTAACATCACGGTATGAACATTGCTCCGTGACCAAGCTAGGAAGAATGTATCTAATTCATGGTGTCGTGGATGTGGCTGCACCCAGCCACCCCCGCCGCTCAGCCATCTGGGTTTTTGCCCCTTGATTTCAGAACCAGGCACTCCTGGGGGCATCACCAGAGTAAGTCCCGCTCAGAGACCTCCTTTTCTAAGAAGCACGGGGTTAGGAAGGAAAATTGCCCATGGCACCTGCTTGCTTCCCAAGCACAGGACTGAACTTGCCATGAGTCAGCTAGACCCCTCCTGCCGCTGGGCTCGGCTTGATGCAGTGAAGCTGGGGGTCTGCAGGGGGAGGAAGGCCTTGCATCTGAACTGCACCTGCTTTGGAAAGGTATTTCTTCACCGTCTCGGCGTGTGTCTCACCCAACTCCTGAGAGCCTGCCCAAGACTCTGTGCTGCTTCCAACTGTCAGGAGAGGCTGTGGACCTCACGGTGGGCCACACCAGCCCACACCCTCTCACCTGCACCCCAAGGACACGGACCAAGCATGTCATGGCTCGGGGGGACGTGGGGGAGGGCAGGACAGAGACCATTTTTACCTCTCAGATATGCTACTTTGGGTAAAAATATGGGAGAAGATGCCTTCAGTTCAGTCTAGGAAGGCACAGGATAAAGCTTAATTTACAGAAGGGTAGCAAGACTCCTACTTCTTCCTCTTCTGTGCAAAAGAAGTGTGTTAGTGTTTGCCAGAGATGCTTCTGGTCCTGGGGGCCTGGACTGGCCTTCTGACCCCTCACCTGTCCATGGGGAGGAGTGGCCTGCTGGCTGGCTGTTCTCTGTGATCCAGGAGGAACACCAAAATTCCTGCTCCCAAATCCGAGAGGCAAGAAGAGAAGTTAGTGGGTAGAATGCATGTAACTTGAGTTTTCCCCAGAGTGGCTGTACCCACATCCTGCTGCCCATGGGGGCGAGCCCCTGAGACATCAACCCTGCCGGTCTCTGCCGCATTCCACATCTCTGCCTGCACGTCAGGCTGAGCACACAGACTTATGGACTTTATTTCTGTCCAGCTAAAATGTGGTTTCTTGAAATATTATCATTTTTAAGTGCAGAAAATGATATGCATATAAGATAGGAGTCTCCTCTGCCTGTAAAACTGTTCTGGGTACCAGAGGGAATAAAACATACCTGTAGTTCTAGGTGCTCAACAAAATCACCATGACTCCCAAATGCTCTGATATTCACCAGAGACTGGCTGCCTGCTCTGCGTGCCTGCCCTGAGTAGCTTTCCTGCAGTGATGCAAGCGGTGAGCCTTCTGGGAGGACGGCTTCTTCCATGACCGTCAGAAGTGCATCTCACAGTGGGGTCAACCTGAGTCCCAGACAAAGTTGGGAAAGTTGCCTCCGGTGGTCCCACCCCTTGGGCATCAGTAACTGAATAGCCAGCTGCTAGAATTCTCAATCTTCCTCCTGAAAGCTGCCCCTTCCCGTTCTTAATTGTCTTAGTCAATGGCAGCCCATTTCCCCACCTGCTCTGGCAAATACCCTGGAGACATCGATGCCTCGATTTTTCCCACCAACCTCCAATTCTATCCATCAGCATGTCTTACTGACAATATTCCAGACCTGCTGGCCACTCTCCATCTCTGTCACCATGGTAACACCCTAGCCCAGGCCTCCATCCTCTCTCCCAAGCCGTCTAACTAGACCTCCTGCTGTACTTAGTAAAGCAGAAAGAAGAGCATGTCACTCGCCTGTTTAAAACTTTCTAGTGATTTTACATCAGTCCGGGTCAAAGCAAACAGACTCAATGTGTGAATAACCAAGGGATTTAAGGTAGGGAGTTGATTACACAGAGGTGAGGCAACCTAGAGGCAATGCAGCTAACATCACCGGAATCCAATGCCGCTTCTACACCAGCGGGACGAGGGCGGGGACACTGCGGTCAATGCAAACTCCCTGCTGTGGCCACATCAGCCTGGGGATGGGGAGCAGTGCCCGGCGTGCTGGCACTCAGTAAATGGTCTATGGGATGGACGGACGAAGGAGGGAAATCGGCCTTCCCACTGGGCACCCCCTTCCAGACTTCTGCATCCATTCTGGAGGCACCGGCGGCAGCACTGGCCGCCCCCACCAGGACCTCTGCCCAATAAAGTGCAGCCTCCACGTCACAGCCTGACCTCCCGTGTCAGACGCGCTCGGACTCCGCACCCGTCAGTAGGGGGACCCTAACACGGACAGCTGCCTGGTGGGGGAGGGGGGGAGGGGCCCCGAGGGGCACAGTCTCAGGGCTCTGCAGCAGGGGTGGCGGGGGGCGCCCCCCCAGAGGACACCCCAGCCTGCAATGCTCTGGGGACAGCGCCCTAGAGCTGGGCGGCGTGTTTCCGAGCCTGGCCATGGGGTGGCGCTGCTCGCTAGCCGTTGGCCTGGGCGGCTCTGCTCCGCCGGGACGCAGGCCCTCCTCTGCCAAGGGCGGCTCTGCCCAGGGCGGTCAGCACAGACTTTCACACTTACAGTGCACACTGCCATGGGCTGCCCACAGAAGGGGGAATTCTTCCAGGCGCCGGACAGGAGATCCTCTGGAAGTCTTTGATGATATGGATTTTGGAAACTTGGAGAAGGGTGAGAGCAGGACTTCCTGGACCAGGTTCCAGACACGGCTCCCTGCGGAGGATGACAGCCAGCTCCCCACACCTCCTGCCAAGCCTGCAGACACAGGGTCGGGGCACCCCGACTCTGGACTCAGGGGTTCAGCCTGAGTACCCAGTCGTTACGTTAACTACATTCTGGGATGGAATCTGTCTGATTGTGGAACTGTTGACACATGTGTAGTAACTATTCCTTCTATTAAAAATCCACTCACTGCTTCTCCCAAGCTTCCAGCCCCTCACCCCCACCAGCCTCCACGAGCCCCAGCAGCGTGACTGGTTGCTGCCGGGGCTGAGTGCTGGCCCGAGGAGTCTGGTCCAGAAGTGCTGGAGCCAGAAGCCCATGTGGGGGTCAGAGCGGGGGCAGCCCTGAAGCTGGTCCTCCAATGGCCCGGTGGACCCAGAGGTCCCGTCCCCAGAGGGAACTGTCTGCCTGCCACCCCACCCCTCCCACTGCAGGCTGTCCCTCCTGCTTATCACCAAGCTGTGGCCCGCGTTGCTCTGAGGCTGCCCCTCCTGGGCTGTCTGTGTGCGCACGTGCCTGTGTCTCTGGCTCAACTGCTCTGCAACGGGGGGTACCCTTAGCTCTCTGACCAGGGACTGAGCCTGCAGTGCGTCCCCTGCACCAGAAGGCGGATTCCTAACCACTGGACCACCAGGGAAGTTCTGGGATCCTTTCCTAAAATGCTAAGTTTCATGTGATCAGAAACATGGTTCTAATCCTCAAGCCAACAGGAAGCTGTCAAATGAACTATTAGAGGAACTGCTCTCAGATCCCCGGTGAAAAACACAGGGAAGCCCTCATCTCTTGCAAAGAAGAGCAGAGACACTTAAAAGAAACGGCTAAAATTTCTGTGCACTGAGACTCCTTTCATGATGTGGCAGCACTATGTGGCAAATAGCTTGCTTCGTCTGACAAGTCAGATCTGCAGCCAGTTGGACGGAGCTAGAAACCCCGAACTTTCTTAAAACAAACCTCAGCAGCAGAGAAAGGCTGCCTGCTGGCCTAAGTCGGACACCTGGCTGCCCGCGGGCAGGAGGCTTCGGCAGCCCTGGGTTCCTCGGCCTCGGGCGGGCTTCCCGAGGGTGAGAAACACTCGCTGGTAAAACGGCCTGCAAGTCCAGCTCCAGCAGGAATGGGTGGTGAGATGAGCACAGAAATCCTTTGGATGTGGAGGATTACAGGTCCTATAAATATTTATGGAGCAACAGCAGCTTCTTAGGCAGTGTGCATAGGACATCTGCCACCGAGGCCAAAACAGTCTGGATGTTTCCATGCGTCGACTCAAACAATGTGCTGCTTTTTTACAAAGTGAAATCCTAGTTTCAAAGTGAAGTTTTGGTCAAGGGGCTTACTTCCCTCTAAATTCCTCACCCACCGAAACTACCTGCCTCCAAGTTCTCAGAAGCAGCTCCCGCCCCTGGATTCTGACCCCCTTGCTGTCTCCTGCCAGGAGACCACCGCAGTGTCCCCCCACTCTGTCCTGGGGAGGGTGTGGGGTGTCCACCCCGGCTCCTCCTTGGCCTGCAGCCCTGGGCGGGCAGGCGTCTGGCTGGCGGTTTGCCCGCTTGCCCCAGAGTCCCTCTGAGGAGCCCGGCCCACCTCCTGTTGTTTTGGGTTGTTGTCTCCACAGCGCTCCCGTACATATGGCACGTGGAAGCAATTAAAGCGGAGCTGCGGAGCAGCCAGTCCCCCAGGGCTGTGAGCTGCCAGGCTCCCCGCCCGGGGAGGCGCCCACGCTCTCCGGAGTCGGTCTGTGTTGTTACTTTTCAAGGCTGAATTTAACATCAGCCGGCAAAGAACAGAAGTGCTTCTGTGCGAAGATGAAGCAGACTTGCAGCTGCTGCAGGCAGAGGCTACGTCTGCCACTGCTCGTCAGGACACTGCCACAGACCGTGGGCCGTCCCGTCTGCGGGTGTGTCCGTGCAGCTGCCAAAGCCACGCACGGGAGACCTCGGGGCACGAAGGTCACGAGGCTGTGTGCTTCGGCCTGTCCGCCCGCGTGTCACTGGAGCAGCGCCACGTGGAAGCGGACTCCATGGGCACTCGCAGCAGCTGACGTGCCGCCCGCCGCCTCCGCGGCCGCCGCTAGGACACGAGTGCGTGTGGCTGCCAGGTGGGCTCTGGGGCCAGAAGGCAACAAGTTCTGGTCTCCTCTGCCCCCAGATGATGCGTGTGTATGATCAGTCACATCTGACTTTGTGCGACCCCATGGACTACAACCTGCCAGGCTCCTCTGTCCGTGGGATTCTCCAGACAAGAATACTGGAGTGGGCAGCCACTCTCTTCTCCAAGGGATCTTCCCGACCCAGGGATTGAACCTGGGTCTCCCGCATTGGCAGGCGGGTTCCTTACCACTGAGCCAGCAGGGGAGTCCCCCCAAATCATGCAAAACAGAACAGGGATCCCTAGTTTTCTTTCTCTCAGCCCTGACGAGAAAAGACCCAAACTTCCCAAGTGTGAGTTTGTGGAAAGAAGCAGGAGACAGTTTACATCATCACTTGTCAAAGTTGAATGGCCTCCATTAACTGACAGTCAACTCGATAAGCTCCCGCATACAGTTAATTAACATGTGAACATTCAACTGGACATACTTGTGCAGAAGGGGTTACACCCCAGGAAGGAGCCAGAGTCTACCCGACCTAAAGTGGGCAGTGATTCATTCTGAGTATGAAGGCATATTCCTCACCCTCACGGGGGTGGAGGGGCCATGAGCTTGAGTATGTGAGTTATGGCAGCAAACAGCAGAGGCACGGAAAATAATGCCAAGTTCAGACCCTAGTGACGCGTACCAACTCCACGATGGTACGGAGCGGAGGGGAGACGGCAGAGGCTGAAACTTCAATAGTGGTTTAGGCTGACTGAACGATGACACATTCACTTCAATATTCAGGACTAGTCATTTGCTCTGAACTTCCAAATAACACTTCGCTTTACTTCCAAACTGAATTAAGTGGCATCAGGCTGGCCGGAGGCTGAGTGGGGGGCAGTAGTCACACCCAGGGCAGGGGCTCTGCTGTTTCTGCGTATCACCCCGGCCTTCATGGCCAGGACGGCTGCACAAACGGTCCGGAGCCAAAACATGCGTGTTTCACTCCCAGCTTGGCAGCCATTGGGTTGTGTGTGTGTGTGTTTGAGAGAGAAAGAGAAACATCCTGGCTAGGCAAGTCGGAGGACCATGAGTCTCCTTGTAACTGCTGCGAAAAGACAGAAGCTGC